GTATGGTAGTTCATAATGTCAGGATGTGTATGCATGTTAGGTATGTTAGTTCATAATGCCGGAATGTGAATGTATGTTAGGTATGGAAGTTCATAATGCCAGGAAGTGTATGCTAGGTATGGTTATTCATAATGCCAGGAAGTGTATGTTAGGTATGGTTATTCATAATGCCAGGATGTGTATGTATGTTAGGTATGGTAATTCATAATGCCAGGCTGTGTATGCATGTTAGGTATGGTAGTTCATAATGCCAGGATGTGTATGTATGTTAGGGATGGTAGTTCATAATGCCAGAATGTGGATGTATGTTATGTATGGTAGTTCATAATGCCAGGATGTGTATGTATGTTAGGTATGGTAGTTCATAATGCCGTGATTTAAATGTCAGAAAGGCTCTCTTGTTCATAATTTATAATCGATTTTAAAAGAGTGTGTTGTTTTTATTCAATGAAATAGTTTTAGAACAGTACATCAGAAATCTTATTTTTACTCCGGTCGATTCAAGGCCAGACGACATATTAATTCTAAGTGAAACGCCAGGCGTCGTATTGCATTGCAATGCCATTATTGCGCAAAGAATGTGACAATTCTAATGGACAAATCACTATATATGTTAACAAATAAGGTTCAGATAGTACTGACTGTTTACATACATATCAATGTGATACTGACTGTTTACATATATATCAATGTGATACTGACTGTTTACATACATATCAATGTGATACTATTAGTTATACGGATTTTTGGCAGGGTATACGGGATGGTATGACCCTAAAGGGTTTTGTATTTCCTGAGGCCGATAGGCCGAAGGAAATACGATATCCTGTAGGGTCATACCATCCCGTATGCCCTGCCAAGAATCCGTGTAACGAATTTATTACCCCTTTAAGTCTTTTGCAATAAAAACAAAGAAAAATAACTGGCACAGTACCTCATTTAGTTTCGTTTTATCAAATTCCTCGAACTGTTCTTCCTGATTCTTTTCTTTTAAATACTACGTCCTCAGCATGTTCGCCGCTCGTCTGTTCGACTTTTGTGTGTTGTGTGGCACATAGTTAGCCCTTTTGGCGAGTATTTCCTCAGGAGTATGCGAAGCGAAACGTTTTGCCATTTTGTAAACAGCGAAGCAGACGACGAATGCGAGTTGTCTCCCGATGCCCCGCCGCAAGATACAAAGACACGGGACCCGTATACCCCTTGTAAAATCACGTGATTCCACCGTATTACTGCTGAGAATCACGTGACATGACCGTATACCCCCTGAGATTTTCGTATACCCCCTGAGATTTACGAATGCGGTTTGGTACACTGTAGTTTTTAACCAATCAGATTCCTAGATTTTTCTCAAAGAGGTAATAATGACTGTTTACATATATATCAATGTGATACTGACTGTTTATATATATATCAATGTGATACTGACTGTTTACATATATATCAATGTGATACTGACTGTTTACAATGTTACCAGAATGTTTAATATCCCNATCAATGTGATACTGACTGTTTACATATATATCAATGTGATACTGACTGTTTACATATAAATCAATGTGATACTGACTGTTTACATATATATCAATGTGATACTGACTGTTTACAATGTTACGTCAGAATGTTCAATGTTCTGTCGCAATCAAAAATGTCAATTTAACAAACACGATTATCATAATCTGAAAACGAGTTTGCCTCCTGTTTATTCTCCTACATCCTATACAGGTGTACAGGCCACCCTATCTACAGCTAAAGTACTAGATGAGGAGCACCTCTTCCAACTTCTCTTTCCGCGCTTAATTGCTTTTGCGGAGAGAGCATGGCACCGTGCTCCGTGGGAAAACACCGTTAGAAGTCCTATTAGGAACATGACAGAGTCAGAAAACGGTGAAAGGAAGGATTTCCTGAAATTCAAAGCTAAAGTTGGTGCAAAAACACTGCCTAAACTAGATATGTACCAAGTTGGCTATTATATGGCACCCCCAGGAGCTAAGTAAGATACAGCGTGTAGCTAGATTTTTACTTTAAATAGTTTCCTCTTGACTATTTGCACGCTATTTAGAGCTACTTATGTAAAACAAATTGAATAATTTCATCATGCTTCATATAGCAGTGGTCCGATAGGTGGCATGAACACTCAGTTACAAGCTGTATTTACACTATTGTTTAACTATTGAGAGGATGTTTAACGCAATCGATTAATCCACTAGTTCTACATAAGGTTTGTTCATCACTTTAAAGGTTTCAACAAAGTCTGACATTGTTAATATCTTTGTTTTGTGTAAACGCATTACAAATAATTATAAATTCTCTGCCTTAGATTTTCCAGCTTCTATTTTCATTCTCTAATGTAAATCAGAGTTATAAGTCATTGCATTTTGAAATGCAAAGTCTGTATTCCAATACTCCTGTTATCAATGTTTTATAGTATATTTATTTTATCGATTTCTTAATGAAATGTTGCACTATTGGAAGCGTGTTGAGAGCGATAAAACCTACGTTCTCCTAATGACCCGAACAAATATTGAGAGCGATATAACCTACGTACTCCTAATGACACGGGACACGTAATGAGAGCGATATAACCTACGTTCTCCTAATGACACGGGACACGTATTTAGAGCTATATAACCTACGTTCTCCAAATGACAAGGGACACGTAATGAGGGCGATATAACCTACGTTCTCTTACTGACACATGACACGTATTTAGAGCGATATAACCTACGTTCTCTTAATGACACGGAACACGTAATGAGAGCGATATAACCTACGTTCTCCTAATGACACGGGACACGTAATGAGAGTGATATAACCTATGTTCTCCTAATGACACGGGACACGTAATGAGAGCGATATAACCTACGTTCTCCTACTGACACATGACACGTATTGAGAGCGATATCACCTACGTTCTCCAAATGACACGGGACACGTAATGAGGGCGATATAACATACGTTCTCCTAATGACACGGGACAT